CATTAGAACGATCAAGTTATGCAGTATTTATCCTTATGAACCTTAGTTCACTCAACATAGTGCTCCCCAGCTTTTCCATCTTATATATTATTTTTTTAAAATCATTGCTTCTAAGTGCTGTATAATAGTCCATTGTGTGACAGAATCCACGGGTCTGATGCCCGTACACAGGAGGTGTGCTGATGCGAGGGGCGAGGGATTGATGCTGCAGCTGAGGTGACGGAGGGGACTCTGGAGCGGGCAGACTTCAGACGAGCTGCGCCACCCTAGGGAAGGGCCTCCTCTCAGGCCTCCCACCTTCATGCATTCATTCCCCCCTCCAGTCATTCATGCAGACTCACCGGTCCCCCTGACAGGTCCACACCACAGACACGCCTGGGGCAGACACTCGCTAATTTATCTGCACTCCCTGTCAAATAGCATTTGACCATTTCCAAGATGAAAATATTCCTTTAGGAAAAAAACCCCAAGAATGTAAAGCCCCAAACCATAAAGATCTTAAGAGATAAAGTGGGACCAAGCTTAGAAGATCTAGCCTATTGGTACAAAGAGGCGGACAAATGCAGCCAGAAATACCCAGCCAGGGAGTGCTGGCCAGGCACTTGTGAGTTGGGGCTGTGCGGGGGTGTGAGAGCTGCTCAGGGCACTGTTTCATCGTCAGCACGCCGCTGTGTTGAAGTGTAAGGGGACACATTAATGGATTACTGGACGTTGCAGATAGTGGCTGCCCCTCGCATCAGCACATCTCCTGTGTACAGGCAGCAGACCTGTAGATTCTGTCATTTGACGGCGGGTTACAGGGCTCTTCGCTGCTGGGGCACAGGGAACCCTGCGCTCATGACGTCACATCACAGGCACATCTGGGGGTCCTGCTGCATATTTAAGAAGGTGAGAGCTTTCTAGCAGAGGACAGAGGGACGCCCACGTGCTGCGGTGGCCTGCTCGTCCACGGCCACTGCTGGAAGGCCATGTGACCACGAGGCAGGGTGAGTCAGTGTTCACAGCTCTGGAGCCTCAGCCTCCCCGAGCCCATCGCACGCTCCACGTGGAAACCAGGGTGGTGGTGTTAGTTGTCGTGGGCTTCAACTCATAGTGACCTGTGAACAACAGAAGCCCTGCCTTCCTGGCCATCCTCACGTCTGGCCGTCCTCACAGCTCAGGCTGTTGGAACCACTGTTGCAGCCGCTGTCTGAGCACCCGTGGCTGAAAGGTCTTCCTCCTTTTTGCTGAACTGTTATATTTCTGGGCCTGGTGTCATTCCCCAGAGACTGGACCCTCCTGACAACATGCTTGATGACAGTTACAAGCTGTAAGGACGGGGAGACCCTGTCTTCTCTTCAGAGGAGCCCCGGCCGTGGATTGACATTCAAACCCAGGGAAGGGACAGAGCCACACTTCACTCAGGGCTTACTGTCTGTGGCCAATCACAGGCCCCTTGGAGGCGGCTGAGAGGGGACAGAACCTTCCAGCACTCGGGGAGGGCCGGCCTCCTGCGGGGGAGGTGGGATCTGGAGGTGTGGTCAGGCAGGTGCGGGCTGGGCTGGGCTCCACTCTACCTGGGAGGAAGTTTGCACACTTGGACCAATGCCTGGACTTGAACTTGGGGATTATGGGGCTTCTGGAATGCTGAGAGGGGAGGACTCTGAGGGGGCAATGTTCCCTGGAGGCCTCTTTGTTTGTCTTCATGGTGCACTGAGCACGCCCCGCCCCGCCCCGTCCCTCCTGTGGCTCTGTGTGGGGATCCTCAGGCCTGACCACTGACCGGCTGAGCCAGAGCTGAAGACAAACACTCCCAGAGCTGTGACATTGTTCACGTCAAAACCGAGGACCTGCCGGGCCCGGGAACGGCCCCAAACTAGGTGGAGAAATTGCAAAGGGGTTGAAGGTGAAGGCTGGGGGCTGCCCACCTGGAGAGGGGTCCTGGGACACTGACTGCTGCGCGCGTGTGTGTGTGTGTGTGTGTGTGTGTGTGCATGCACACGTGCGTGAGAGAGATAGAGCATGAGCGAGCGCATGAGAGCTGTGTTTGTACTTGTGTGAGAAGATGTTGGGATGAAGGGGGGTGTGAGAGAGAGAGACGAGTGACACTGTGTGAATGTATGAGTGTGTGTATATCAGTGTGTGTGACTGTAAGTGATGACGTGAATATGTGTACACATCAGTGTAGGTGTGTGAGAGCACATATGTGAGTGGTGTGAGTGTGCGTGTGTTTATGAGAGAGAGAGACAGAGAGAGGGGTGTGGGGGTGTGTGTGTATGATTGCAAACTTTTCTGCAACAATAGAAGAGTAAACAAATGCTTCTTGGGAGCAGAGTACCTCTCAAACAAGGAGGGGGACTTCCTCTCACATACTCACATACTCTGGGCATGTTACCAGGAGGGGCTGATCCTGAGAAGGACGTTGTGTTTGGGAAAGCGGTGGGCCAGCAAGAGAAAGAAGGCCTCAGTCAGGAGGGGCTGGCGTGGTGGTGCAGTGACGGGCCACTGCCCAGCAGAGACTGTGAGGTGGCGCAGGAGTGGGCAGGGCTGTGTTCAGTTGTGAACAGGACACCATGTGTTGTAGCTGACTTGAGGGCCCCTAACATCAACCACCACCACCACGCACACGCCTGTCCATCAGGACCCGGACGCTGCACAGAGGATTTGAGTGCTGGCGTGTTTCTCTAACGCGCTTCTGTGCGGCCGTCCTGTGTGGGGAGAGTGGACGGCTCCCTGGACCCCCGTGTGCTCTCCCAGGCGGTGATGAGCGTCAGCAAGGCTGACACGTGCGCAGACACCGCTCACCGCTGCAGCTTTTCCTGCTGCACGTTTGCATTTGAATTTTCTGGTGTGTGAATATAGTAGTTTTATTTGAAAATAAAGTCATCTGAGAACCGTAGGCGACAAGGAGTTTTGCCAAGAGCTGGGTGTTTTTCAGTTGATTGGAGCCCCTGATGGTGTGAGTGGTGTCCGCCGTGCGTGATAGAGGTGGAGGAGGTGGGCCCTGTTCACGTGGTACCTTCATGTCCATGCCAAGAAGCGAGGACTGTGTTCCTGACAGCTTCTGACCAGCATGGTGGCCTGTCCTCAAGCACATTTGATTACTTGGTGCTTTTTCTGTCTCCCCAGCTGCCTTGGGGGAGCCCCTCTGTCAGCTGGTGAGCACTGGGGTCCTTTCTTCTGTCTGAGCTCCCTGTTCTGATGTGCCCTCTGACAGAGCCAGCAGTGAGCTGTGCCCTCCCCAGTTGGTTTCACAGACCCTGGTGGGCTGTAGAGGACACTGGCCCAACCCTCAGTGAGCTCACAGGGAGGTGAGGGGACATGTGATTAAGAACTTGTGGAGTAGAGTGTGGATAGGGCTGTACAGGAGGCAGAGGGAGGGGGCCAGCAGGGGCTTCCCCACGAGGTGACCACTGCACAGGCTGGATGTGTTCAGTGATAACAGTGGCACAGGTGTATGGGAGAGATGTGAGGCCCTGGTTGTCTCCTTCTAGGCTCTTTTCTTGTAACAGAGGGTTCAGCTCAGCCAGGGGAGAATTCAGAGCAGGGTTGGAGGTCAACCAGCGTTAACTACTGCATAGCCCCTTGATCCAGTGGAATACAGGACTCAGAAGGCTTGGGCGACATGGAGTCAGTGCTGAGTCATCCACTTGTTACATGCACGCCATCCTCATGAGCTTACTGAAAGTCCACCAGCCTACCCCAGCCAGCTCTCCCAGGGTCACTGTCCAGTTATGGGTGCTGTCATTGCAATAAGAACAACAACACACGTATAACTGGAACCCGCCCTGCACTGGTTCTGTGGAGGTTAGCACTCACTCACAGGCTGCCCCCTGGAGTGTTTTCTCCGCAGCCACCTTCACGGCTCAGGTGTCATGGGGCCACAAGAGCCTGGGCTGCCCCTTGCTCAGTCCCAGGTGTAACCCCCAGCTGTGGCTTCTCCTCTCTCCTCCAGGGGAACACTGCGAGGTGAACGTGCGCTCTGGCCGCTGTGCCCACGGTGTGTGCAAGAACGGCGGCACCTGCGTGAACCTGCTCATCGGTGGCTTCCACTGCGTGTGCCCCCCTGGCAACTATGAGAAGCCCTACTGTGAGGTGACCACCCGGAGCTTCCCGCCTCAGTCCTTCGTCACCTTCCGTGGCCTGCGTCAGCGCTTCCACTTCACCATTTCCCTCACGTGAGTGTGTGTCTCCACCAATCCCAGCATGCTACAGCCCCTTCTGACTCACGGTGACCCCATAGGATGGAGCCAGATGGCCCCACAGGGGCTGCACATCTGCTACATCCCGGATGTAGACTGCTCAGTCTTCTGCCTTGGAGTGGGCGACAGCTTCAAATCACTGGTTAGCAGCGAGTGCTTTAACCACTGCATCACCAGGGCTCCTTAGGCCATGGCTAGTGGAGTGGAACAGTGTCACCTTGTGTCCAGATGTACCTCTTCTTTCTAATGACACATCACCTACTGGTGACCTCTGATGCTTGAGTAGTAGCTCTGGCCAGTTCTGGCTATAAGACTGGCTATATAGTTTCGGGGCCTCTTGCAAAATGCTTACCTCATGTCCTTGTTAAGACTTTCAGATGATGATGGTGGAGCCTCCGATTAAACATGGAGCCTTCAACTGATAGTTCTCACACCTGTGGAACTGACCCTAGCTCATCTAGTCCGGCTCTCTTGCCAATATTTGTTGTTGTTGTTAAATACCCTCAAGTCACTTGCGACTCATAGTGACCCTATGTACAATAGCCCTTAAATCTACTCTATCCTGTGCCAGCCTTATTTTCTCTGACACACCTACCCTCATTACCCCAGTCACTGAATCAAGGGTCTTCCTTTCTTGTACTGTCCATCACCCTTCCAATCATGATGTCCCTCTCCAAGGACTAGTCCCTCCTTGCAGTATTCCCAGAGTATGTCAGACAAAGTTTCAGAATCCTTGCCTCCATGGAAGAGCCTGGTCTCACCCTCCCTAGGACAAACCTGTTTGTTCTCCTGGGAGCTCATGGTATATTCAATACTCTTCTCCAGTACCACAGATCAAAGGCATCTAGTCTTTTTCTATCATCCCTAGTCATTGTCCAGCTCTCTGATGTATAGCACATAATTGTGAAGATTATGTCCTGAATCAGTCATACCTTAGTCTCCAGATCACTGCTCTTCAGTACTCTGGAGAGGTCTCTGATAGCAGACTTTTCCAATTCAATTCATCTTTTGATTTCCTGGCTGCTGGTACCAAGAGTGTGGATTTTGGAGCCAAGTAAACTAAAGCTGTTAACAATCCCAATCTCTTCACCATCTATCCTGATGTTGCCAATTGGCCCAGTGATGAGAATCTTTGTTTTCTTGGTGATGAGCTTCCATCCATATTGAAGGCTGCAATCTTCGACCTGCTGCCGCAAGCACTTCAGGTCCTCCTCAATTTCAGCAAGCAGGATTGTGTCATTTGCATGATGCACACTGAGTCTTCCTCCAATCCTGATACCACATTCTTCCTCTTAGAGCCCAGCCTCCTGGATGAGATGTTCTGCACATAGATTGAAAAGGCATGTAGATGGGACACATCCATGGTGTATACCCTTCCCGATTTGGAACCATGCAATATTTCCTTGCTCTGTTCTGACAGCTGCCTCTTGTTCCAAGTATAGGTGTCACATAAGCACAATCAAATGTTCCAGGATTCCCATTCTTCTCAGATTCAGCCACAGTTTGTTGCGGTCCATACAGTCAAATGCCTTTGCATAGTCAATGAAACACAGATAGACATTCTTCTGGTACTATGTGCTTTCAGCCAAGATCCACCTAACATTAGCTATAATATTCCTAGTACCACGGCCTCTTCTAAACCAGCCTGCACATCTGGTAGTTCTCTGTTGATGTGGTTTTCAGAGTCATTTTTGCACACTCTTCAGCAGTCTTGCTTGCATGTGATATTAATGTTTGATAATTTCTGCATTCTGTCAGGTCATCTTTCTTTGGAATGAAAACAAATATCGATCTCTCCCAATCAGTTGGCCAAGGTAGTTGTCCTCCAGATTTCTTGGCACAACCTGGATGAGCACAGCCAGGGTAGAATATGATG